CTGTTTTCGTCGCTCGCTAGGCTGGTCGGCGACGTGGCGGCGATGGCGGCGGAGGAGAGGATGAGCGTCTACAGGGCGTCGAGGAGCATCAAGAGGATGGATAATTCACTCTACAACGCGTTGCGCTCCATCTACGAGGACTCCACCTTCGTGGCCGAGATCGCCGGACTGTGGCCGAGCCTCCCGCTCGTCGCAAATCTCCGCTGCGGCCTCTGGTACGCCCCCCGATTCGAGGCCACCTGCTACTTTAAGTCCACCGACGGGCACACCAACAACTGGTGCTTCAGCACCTCGCGCCTCAACCTCCACCTCGCCCGACTCGCTGGTAAAGCCTACAAACCCGCATTCCCCAAATCCTCAAAATTTCTTTCTTTGTTGTTTCCTTTTGTTGGAAACTGGCGTATGTATAGGGCTTTTCTCTGAGTTCGTAATCTTGGATTTGTTTATATGCTGTCCTTCGCGAATTGAGGTTCTTCATTGAAAGATCACGCGGAAGAGTAAAAGATGGTAGTTTTGGCTGGTGCATCAATCTTTTCCCCCACTTGGTTCTACAGTTCTTGTCCTCACAAGATTTTTTTCATCATGTGTTATAGATTGAGGAGTCGGAAGAGGGTATAAGATGGGATCCTGAACATCTTTCAAACTTGAGTTTAAAGAATCTTTTAATTGGTTTAAATAACAGCGATGAGATTTTCTAGGTTTTGTTGTGCTTACTATACCATGGTTCTTGTGATTTTCCTTGCGAGGTTTCTTTTGATGGATTATACAAGGGATAAGAGATGGAATCTTGAACATCTTTCATAGTTGAGTTTAAAGAATCTTTTTAACTGGTTTAGTTAACTGCCACGAGATTCTCTAGGTTTCCCTACCTTCTACACAAGAGGGAGAGAGAAAAATATTTCATTTCTTCGAGGGTTTTTTTTTTTTTGCATCGTTTCTGATTCTTTCTGCACCTGTAGATCTCATCAAATGGTTCTCTCTAACAGAATGTGAACTGCGTTTGTAGTTTTGCAGTTTGACTTTGTTTTATAAAGGTGTGTAGGGGCTGAACGCTTTTCTGAATTTTGGTAGGACAGAGAGGAGGGTGTCTTATAGTCGATTCGACGAGGAAGGGAAAACGCTTTCCAGATAGCATGTCAAAGACAATTCCAATATGGGCATGTGTGATAAATTGTGCCATCAAGAATTATCTGCAGAGGATGCTTGGTGATAACCACCAAGGTCAGGAACTGGTAGGCAACAGATGACATAAAAAATAGAACTATTGTTTGCTATTTGATATTGATCTGAATTATAAACATTCAGAACCTGTCATTAAAATCGTACCTAGCCACATCCTGGCTCCGTGCTCTTATATTCTTTAAGGTATCAACATGTAAAGGATCACTATGGTGGATTAGTTGGCTTATGGCCTGCATCCTTACCCATCCTTCCCTGTAATATGTGTTGGATAAGAATCCATTATTTGTTGACATCTTAATCTGTGATTATAGACTTAACATCAAGTTAGGCCATGATACTGGTTTCTGAATTTTATGATAAACTTAATTTTTGTTATTTCAAATTCTCACAACATTAAAGCACAATTTGCAAATTTATTTATTGAAAATTTTTCTTACATGTTTGCATATCTTTTGTTCCATTAAAAATTTTGGATGCAAACCGAGTATTTTTGTCTATTCCTGTACAGAGAACTTTGCTACAACATCTTTGCCTTGATTATCTACTCAGTTGCACGATGATCCTTTTTGTCTACCTTTTATTTTTCAGTTATTGTAGCATGTTCATCCTATGGTTTCTAAATCATACATCAAAGGTTCTGTTCAATTATATTCTGGGATTGATTATTTTCATGTTTATATGCATTATACCTCTCCCAGGAATCTAATATTTCCTCCAATGAGACTTCTGACATGAGGCTCAAATCTGCTGACTGGGATTGCTCCTTGCATCTTCCGATATGGGTCTCAAACTCTGAGAAAGCAATTATAGAGACACACCTTCAAGAGTGGACCGTGCTGTTGGAAGCTTGCGGTGCTGATATTAGTTCTCTTGCGTCAAACTTGAGAAAGCCCCTTCGTCCATTATGGATTTCTCAAAAGACTCTCATTTGGTTGAATGAAATTCCTGATCATGATTCTTGGGAGTTCATACCACTCATCCTGGTCTCAGCGTCAGCATCAGATGGAATATCTCAGTCAAGAACAAGCTCAGGATTTAGCTGGCATTATATTCCAGGAGCTGGAGATGATGAAGAGAGCTGGGCTCGAGGCCTGTCACCTGACCTGTTTTGGAAGCATGCATTCGAACTTATAGATACTGGGCCTGAACTTTGCAATCGACAAGTTGCTGAAATTGTTGAAAAAGAAAGAGTATATCTTGCACAAAGGGGCAAATATTCTCCTCAAGTAACACTCAAGACGGGGAAATCATCGACAATCAATCATCCTATTTCTCTCGAAGAACCTAATATTGTTAGTGAGTTGATGGAGACTGAATTTTCCATCAACTCCATGAGTACAATATCATCCTGCAAAGAACATACTATATTTTGGCTTGGTTTGACTAATGTTGCAGTGAGCACAACCTCACATGGTATACTAAGTTCTTTTGCGTTTTTCCCTGCAGAATTGCTTTTAAACTCTCTCGTGTTCTTGATGCTGAATCTCTTTATTCTTTTTGCACTTAAGCTTTCTCATGTTCTTGATGCCTGATCTCTTTACTAGTTTTTCTTTGGCCCATATATTTGTTCGAAAAGGTATCTGTAAATCCACAATGTCTCAAACCCAAAATGACATCATATTTCCTCAGCTTGAGCCTACAATGCTACCACTAGGTTGGTTCTGTGGCCTGAAAGGCATAACCTGTTATCTATCAATCTTGATTTAGGGTCATGTGAGTTGTTTGGCTTCTTTATACTTTAGTATGGCCTCAAAAGGCATGAAAAATTGGAGGTTTGGGAAAATCAGTGCATCATATTATCTTTTGATATCTTACTGATATAACTGAGAAATTCTGATGAATTTCTTACTTTTTGTTGTTTGTAGGAAAAAGCCTTTGAAATTATGATCCACAGTAGCTTTGTAATGTCTTACTAATTTTGAAGTCCTATATCTTTTTTTTCATATGAATAAATTTTGTTAGTTTATTGGCTATCTTGCAAATGTTATATAACAAAGAACTTTCTTTATTCCAAGATCCCTCCATGCAAAATGTCCTACATCACTTATGCTTATTGTTGTTACTAGTCAACAAGTTATTGTTTAAACCTGATGATAGACTCTCAGTCTGCAATTCCTTTAAGACATGAGTCTGGAGTTTCACTATTTGTTTGTTTTCTCAAGAAGGTAGGTCCACTATTCAATAATAGTTTAAAATATTTTTTAATTAAACATACGGTCCAACCAGTTGACCCACCGATCAGACCAGTGACCCGAGGTTTAACCGGATCGCTTCTCAGTTCGGTTCTGATAACTATGCTCCTAACCCCTTCATGTTCCTTCTTCGCTTATCAATAGAAATGAACCCATAAGATGATGGATTTTGTGTTCTCACAGCTAGTTGTGACCTATATCGGGAATAAACAATAAACTACTTTTAAAATTGGAGATGCCACTCCAAAGGGATGTGCATGTAGTTGAATATATCTCTTAGGTGTTCTTTTTATCATATGTTTTATTGGATTTATTGATGGAAGCAGTGTTTTATCTTTCTCGCTCATTCAGCTTATTATTTTTGTTCATGCAGTCTTTAATGCATCTGATGATGTTGACTGTGTATTGAACTGTGACAGCAACTCAGGATCATTTTCCTTTCCATCAGCCAGTTCCCAATTGCATCTACCTATAGTGGTGGGTCCAACAAGTTCTGTATTTAAAGATTTGCAATTTCAAACCTTATAAGAATATGTTGTAATCTAAAATATCTCTTTGCAGACTTCAAAAGTGGATCGGTTCTCCTTGATCAGGAATCTTCCTTCTGCAATTGATTTTGCAAAGCTAAACTTGAGTAGAGGAAGAAAACTACTAGTCTGTTGTCATAATGGTGAGAGTCTAAAACTTGTTTTCTTTATTTCAGTGTTAAACCACATCGGAGAACCCATTTCATTTCATTCATTTCATATGTTTGTACTTTGGTTTCAGGAGAAGACATCAGCATATGTGTGTGCCTTGCTATCTTAATGTCCTTTTTTGATGAAAAAGGTGTGCAATTCTTTTTACTAGTTAAGTAGATGTATTGTTTTATTTGCTTTTGCTGAAAGTGAAAGTTAATGTTCAAGATATAAATTATGGATTTATACTTTTGAAGTATGTGGATTATGAAGATGTTAAATTATGTGGTTGTCTCCTGCAAATCTATGGTAAGCTTTTGAAAACATCTTTGGTAGTATTTTTGGGAGGCTTGTGAAACGGGTACAGTTTGGAGTCTTTTTCCACAGTTATGCTCATAATACCATGCTTTCATTAAAATGCCATAGTTTATGTTGTCATCTGTTTTCATTGGCTAATCTCATTTGTTCTTTTGTCTCTGTGCTTATAGTGACCATTGAAGTTCATGTATTGTATCAAATTAGCAGAGTAGCTTTTGGAATCCTTGCATCCAACTTTGGCCATTTTTCATCTATAACTTCCTCCACAGGATCTTTTGATGGCGGCAATTCATTCATGCATACCACAATAACCAAGTGGGATGTGAGGAGAAGGTTGGTCTTCATTTGCAAATTTGCCACAAGCGCACGTCCATCAAGAGGGAATTTGAAGCAGGTTTTTGGTTTTCTTAGTAGAGAACAAGAATCAGCCATCATTGCGGAGTCTGCTCTTGATGCCACTTGATCCTGCTGCAACTAATGCCCCTTGTGGAGCACCACCAAGTGAGATACCATCTTATTCCTATCTGTTACAAGTGTTTTTTTTTTAGTTATCATTGTACTTTTTATGGTGTTATGATTTAATATTTTAATTAAAGTATGACTTTAGCTGTGGCACTGTTCGATCAATGACTAGCAGTTATTTGCAGATGCATCAATAAGAAAGGGTAGTTTATGAGGTACTGCTGCACATCATGAAATGTTGGTGAAATAAATTGAATAGACATGAATGAGACTATGTTGAAATTGGAATCTACATTTTGTTGGAAGTATGTCCATAAACGTTTATGTATCCGATAACTGTATGTTATATGGCTGTAAAGTTAGGTTCCTCTCGATAAACAATAAGATATTTAATTGCTTTGCATTGATCGCATTTGAGCAATCATAAGAGTAGTGTGTATCGTTCATGCTACAAAGATTGACTAATTGTAGTTGTGTTAATGGGCCCAACTGGGCCTTGCTTTTTTTATTGGTAAAGCCCAGTTAGGCCACGGTTCATTATATAGCAAATGGAACTGGTTCTAAGTGATTCGAGGGGTTCTGTAGTTTTGATTGATAGAAAAGGAAAATTAAAATTTTTGACCAAAATTTGAACTTAGATCATTAGATTTTGAATTTGAAGTGTTAATCACTACATAATGAAACTCATTAGTGTGTTTTTTTCTTTTTTTTTTTACATTTTCAGTCAATTTGGAATCAAACTAGAACCCTTGATTCTGACTCCAATGCCAGTTCTAGGTTCTAGGTAGGAATCCTATTCGATTCAGAATTGTCGCCCAATTTGATTCTGCTTCGAACCGAACTATGACCCCGGCTAATAATGCCACATTAACCAAACTTCATGAGTGTCTATCTAGTACTCTGCATTTGAAACATTTTGCTTCATGAGCTTATAAAGGTTACAACCAGAAGTAGTTTTCTTCTGTATTCTGATGACATTTCTTGGAAGCCATGGACCTACTTGCCAAAGCTGAACAAACCAAGAACATGTGAGATGGTATAAGATTCTGAAGAAGAAAACCGAGTTTGGTGGATCATATGAGCTATCTTTTTTGCATTATCACAAACATAAAATTTGGCAAGCATCAACAATAGAACACAAAAAAAAAGTGAGCTAATTTTCTGTAGGATTAATGGTCTATTTCTAATTGGTGAGGTCCTCTTAGGTCTCTATCACATAGGAAGAGTTGGAGAATGGAAGATCTTGTGGATGGCAATGAAGCCTTTTGCTCCACAATCACCTTAGCAACTCAGTGGCAGCTTAATGATTAGCGCACCAGGTCTTGAGCTTCATTGTGCTTAATCAACATAAGATTAAGAATTCAGCATTAGCACTAAGACTCTAAAAGCATGTAGATTAAAGTTAAAGCATATCAAAAGCAAGATTTAAGCCTCTGAAAGCTTCAGCTGTTGACACCAAATAAGTATTAGGACAAGTCAAAATTATACTGCTCTAGCCATCAATCAACCTAATTAAATTAGTCTCTCCTACTAGCAGTAATGGAGAACATATCTTACCGATTCGTATCTTCCATGTGATTTCAACATTGTTATGAACCGGAGACGCGTGAATCTTAGAAGCAATTAAGCGAGGCTCGGTTAAATGATGGTTAGCATTAGCATACGAAAGCTCCATTAATCGTGGCATTATGCCATGTCGCTGATGTGTTTACACCATTGTCGTTTCATCTTTGTGTCGATTGGTGCCACTTGGGTTCACACATGGCAATCCAAGGCCACATGTACATGGCGTGCCATGCACGATACGCTACCGATCGATTAAACCGCAACTAAGCGTTGATCCGTGCGACAAATGATGAGCTTGGTTTTGTTCCAATGAGAAAATGGTATGTGAAGACTGAGCTAGTAGATGGAGGAAACATCACTGCTAGAGACTTTAGGTGTTCAATCACATTCCCTTGTGGAGTTGAATCAAGAAGGCTTAAATGCATGAGAGAGACATGTTCCTAATAATGCAACCCCATTGTGTTTTCCCAAATCAATCTCCATTTGAGGTCACTCTCTTCCCCACCTATTCCACCACCTACACCAATAATACTACAAGGCAGTGACAACCATGCAAACCATTTGAGACCAGACCTTTGCATGACATACATGAAGTTCTCTTTTGCAAGAAAGTTCTATTTCATCTGAGGAGGATCATAACGGGAGCTATATCCAGCATCAAGGATGACAAGAAATGCTATGCAACTACAAGGAATAAGGAAGATTGTGCTGGAGTAGTATGATACATATATTGTGCATATGTGAAGCTCACACACTTATTTAAAAGTGCATATGATGAGAGAAATGTGTTTGATTCTGAATCCTTGCGTTATTCGAACTCTTTTTAAGTAAAATTTCTTATGATCTTTCACTTGAGAAGAATGAGCTGAATATTGTTAGCATAAGATACTGCCAAATGCATAGAACAGTTTGTTTAAAGCAAAGAACAATGCTTCCTTCCAAAGCAACTAGGAAAGAAATATTGCTGATAAGATTATAATATATACAATCATCACTTTGAATGCAGGCAGTCTCCTCCACAAGATGACTTCCGAAGGCCATGATCCTGTAAATGCTCTGGAAACAATTCTTGGCAGCCATACAACTATTTGGTTGAGAAGTTGTATAGGTATTGCTACTAACTTGAGAAAGGAACATCTCCTCTCCTTGTGTGTGGTAAAGGGTTTAGTCCAGAGGTGATATATGTTTAGTCTATTCAAAGAGGGAGAGGAGGAATCCAGATAGGCGCACCTTCATGCTGGCATCAAAACAGAAGCTTTTAATTCCTTACAATTGCCATGCATGTCACATCCATGGAGGCATCAGATAGGTAAGATGCACCCTAAGCCGGTAGGGCATTTGACATTGCCCTCAATCAGTACTGTTCTCGATGGAAACCATGTCTTTTTCTAACATTATTGTACCTTCTATTCTTATGGACACCTAAGGAGCCTTATTATTGATTGACAGACGAAGAGATGGTTTGAATCAAAATTACAGATCCAACAACTTATTAGTATGTAGGTTAAGATAAATCGAGACATCGAATCTGTATTATATAGTACAATATGGTATAAGTCTTGCACTAAATAATTTTTTGGAAATCTGATATCTATCGATACTCTCGATACCGGTATCATACCGGTATAGTATCGGTCTGAACATGAAATATTAAATCTTGATTTGTACAAAATTCCTATGATAGTAAGAGTTGGTGTGTTCTAGGATGATAACTAGGGTTCACACGAGCATGCACCAAGTTTGGACCCGTTCCTAGGGCAGACTAATCAAACCGGTCAGCGGTCCATTGTCTTTGTTGACCTAAAGAAATCGACTCTAATAGCTAATTAACTTTTCCTTTTAAGTGAGTATCATCAACAATTAAGACTGTCCACAACAACTGAGAAAAATTGAATGAGAAGTCACCATCCAACTTGATGATCAGCATGATTAGCATTTGGCAAGATCATGGATCAAGTAGCCCGGTATTGTGACACCTTGACTATCTATCACTCCGAAGAAACTTCGACCATGAATTTGATTTATATTATCTATCTTGTCTATCATTTATTTAAATAAATTTGATTAGTCTAAGAGGTTATTTCACATCGTCGTCACATGGTAACATCCAAAATAATTTTAACTTAGTTTCCTATTTTACTCAGATTATAAATTGTGATCGAAGATTTTGTGAAAGAATGTTATTTTGTTGATCGAATCATATATTTGATTTAATGTAATTATAATTTTTTTAATTAATCATGAGGGTTTAGTTTTTTAAGTCTGAGTAAGTCTAATAGTTATTCATTAATATTATTATTATTATGTTTTAAATTAGTATTATTTTTTGTTTTTGTTCTCTTCTTAAAAATAATATCGTTGTTCATCATGCTACATCATCTTCATTATTATCGTCTTAGAAGAACTCATAAGATATTCCATAATTCTTTTCCGCTCATCTCATCAAATATCACAAACATATATAATTCTTTCTACATAAGAAATCATGTTTTATGTACCATAAGTTTAATTTTATTGCCTTATTTATTGAAGGCAATGTTGAGAAACATGAAACACCTGAAAACAGTAGTTAATTGAAAGTAGATAACTCTCTCTTGGAGCTGTCTGTCTTTTATTTTTTGATTGCAGGCAGTCTAAATTCATTAAAATTCGTGTTCATCGATGATTTCATGATCACACACGTGTTCAGTATATCAAACTCCCTTTTGAGATCCGTGTGACAGATCTTGTTGTTGTGTATGACCGATATATGACTCCCGGCACTCTCAACATCTCCGGCAACCTCAGCCATGCAAACTGCGGTTGATATCCTAAACAATCCACCACAACACACGATGCAATCAATGCGTGCTTCGTTGCCACAAGAAGAAGAGCAAAAATGAATCCATAGCTGAAGCAGACTGATGATGAAAGCGTTCACGGAAACTGAAGCAGCTGTAAGCAACATAGATTATTCACATTCTACTCGTTCACAGAGAAGCATCGCAGTGAGAAGAAGGTCGTCTCAGGCTCGTCCCATCAGCGGTTCACGGCGGTGGTGCTTGTACTCCGGTGTCAGCGGAATCCTCTGCTGAAGACGAAGCTGCTCGTGGAACCTCTTGATGAACTCCTCCGCCTCCTGGTCGATGTGGCTGTCCACCTCCTCGTCCTCCGCCAATGGGAATGGCGAGTCCGTGATCCTTAGTTGTCGCACCCCCGCCGGGCTCTTCACGAAGCTCCAGCTCATCGGGGCTGGCGATGGCGATGCCATGACCGACTCAGCGTCGGACGCCTCCGAGTTCAGTATCTCGAATGCCTTCGCCACCGCGTCGTAGTCGTAGTCGTAGTCGTAGTCGAAGTGGCTGTGGCGGTTCTTTCGCTTGTACAAGGGAGTGTTGCTACAGCTGAACTCCACCTCCTTGGGGCTGTAGAAGGAGCGGTTGGGGTCCATGGACCGGCAAGAGAAGCCCGAGTACATGGAGGATGCGCCATGACGGTGGTGGTGATGGTGGTGGTGGAAGGTGACGAGGTTGCCGAGGGCTTTTCCGGCGATCTTGCCGCGCTTGAGGAGGAGGTTGAGATCCATCATGAGCTTGTCCTTGGAGAGCCCTTTCCGGATCATGTAGACCACAACCCTCACTATGCGCCACATCCTCTTGGCTGCGCTTGCGGACTCCATTTACACAATGTCGCCTGCTCACACCTTCACCTTTTCTTTGGATGGTTTTCTAGGAAACACACACAGAGAGAGAGAGAGAGAGGTTAGATGAGAGGAGAGAGGACTAAGGCTTGAGACAGCATGCGGAAGGAAGACAGGGTATTTAAAGGGCAAATAAAGGTAGAAGAGAAGCCATGAAACGTGAGAGACAGGATGTGGTGAGGATATTTTACTTCAATTATTGGCGCAGAAATTACTAGAAAGACCCCAAGGGGTGGGATTTGCGAGACCGAGGGCGGGAAGTGGCGGCTGGTTTGGACGCATCTCGCGTCTCCGCCGAGAAGGCGAAGCACATGATCTGAGGGTGAAGGAAGAAGAGACGGCAGCTGGTCGGCCAACAGCAAAAGCCGGGCGAGGGAGGAGCAGGAGACATCTAACCAGACACGTGGCAGAAAAGTGGACCAGGTCATAAATGTCGAGGTGTACACCACAGGAACTCGGCGTCCAAAAGAACACAACAAAGGAGCGGTCCAATCCACCTCGCACTACATTATTGGTCTCCGCCTTATAATAGAAGGAATGTCGTGACCAATCGAGCGAAGGAAGAAAGGAGGTGGCGCCACATGGCACCTTCGTGGCCACACTCGTAACTTCACTCGGGATCCCAACCATGCTATATGTATGTATGTATGTATGTGCCAAGCATTGCCGTTTTGGATGAACCCGACCAGTTGACAAGTCATCATTTATCTATTTTGATTGAGTTTACATAAGCTTTATCTTTTTGAGATGGCTTCAGCAAGGAATTGTCTACACACATTTTTGCTTGGATGGGTCCAAAAAGTGATGATGTTTATAAATTAATATATATATATATATATATATAATAATAATAACAATAATAATTGATCAATCCATTATTGTCTGTATCATCGAAATAGAATTATTATATTTACATTTCCAAATGATAATGATACACTGACGGGAAATATTCATTGGTCCTTTTCAAATAGGTTCCTGGAATCATATTTTGTGAGGACAACATACAATAAATTGTTGTAAATGTTATCAATTAATTTAATTCTAGTGAATGCAAAAAAAGCATCACAAGATTAAGTTTGACATTAACAGCCATTTTTAGGTGTCGTGTTAAAGATCAGTATAGTTCATGGATTTTTGTTGACTGTGAAAAAGATGGTGGGGAATCAAAGGGCAACACAGTGTTCCTTCTCTGTCACCAGTTAACCTTTCTCTTCCTTTGTCCCGATCCAATGTGTAATGCTGCTCGATCACTTGCTTCTCCGTAGCAACCTTATGTGCCCTACAATTAAGTCAAACATTTGTAATCAAATGACTGTAGGAGTTTGGAGTTTGATTGTTTCTCTGTGGCAGAAAGGACAGGTTGACACTGGACACAGGTGGACTCAATGATGCATGCATGCTTGCATGTGTAACGCTCTCTGTTCTTCTTCTTCTGATTTCTTTTAGTCCGAGACACACAGGTGAGTTTTGGCAGACAATTGTGTCAGCCAGTCAACAAAGAACACAGGCACAAATCATGCTACAGTTCAAGATAAATTTGCCGAAATTTCACCAGTGTTATAGTTAACCTCACACTGCACTTTGTCACTCACAAATAGATCTCATGCTCCATGGTAGGAATCTGCTGTCTTCTGAGACCTTATCCAGCAGGAAAGCTGAAGCACAGGCAAAGCAGCATCCTACATTATCAAACACAAAAGGGTGACTAGTGGTCTGAAAGCTAACTTTACAAGCGTAATTCATAGTTTATGATTCACTCACATAAAAGCAAAAGTCGGTGAGCTAAACTTTGTGAGCATATGAAGACTATGCTGAGGAACTGATCACACATTCAAATAACTTTTCCCAAAGTAGTGCTTGTGCTTTTCCTTAATCCAAAATCTGAGGACAGGATCCAAGTGCTATTCTCCTCGTATACAATATGACCAAAGGCTTCCTGCATTTCCTTCAGAGTGCAGAAAACTTTTGATAAAGGATGTTTTACTGTAGTTGTACAACTTATGGCAGTCCACATCGAGATGCATTTGGTAGAACATGAGGTACTTTAACAGCTAAAATTTGATGAAAACTGTGTGTGATTTGATAGGCCAAACTGCTTTTTCTGTCCTACATCCTCCGAGTTAGATTAAAGTACTCGTATGAACTCCTCAAGTTGGACTTATAGATCCTCTCTAAGCGTGTGTGTCTGTGGTTGCATGCACATCCGGCTAACACCTATATTATATTGTAAACAGGCTGGCCCATATCAATTATTCATTTCCCCAAGTATGTGAACGTTGTTGTCCTTCTATAGGTGGAGAGGATTGAGATCCGGCAGTGGCTAGTATTCTAAAGGAAGAGATAAGCGTGGGGAAAGAAAAAGGTTCATATGATAGAGAAAGCCTTAATTAGGCGAGTGGAGAGGCAAGAGATTAGTAGGGTCTTGCATGAGAGCTTCCCATGGCACCACCGATCTTTCCTCTATCCTTGACTAATAGCTCAATTATTGTGGATATTTTTCCTCCTCCCCTTCTCTCATCTTGATATCACGTACGTTAGGCATACGCATTTGTAGTTCTCAGCAAGTCCGCAGTAAAGTATGAGGAACGATCAGTGAAGGCTTGAGAGAACTTTTGAGCCATAAGATCAGTTTGTCATCCGAGCTAGTAGTCGTTTTACAGGTCGTGATTGCAAGGTACGCATGTCAACTCACAGATTGTGATTGTATGTTTGGCACCTTCTGTTGCTTCTTCTTCGGTGTCACTGCCAGAACTCAATTATAAGGTCGGCACCATTAATGGTGATGAGAACATCTCTTGTGCATTGCACGTGTGGTGAGATGAATCGGGCCTTGTGAAGAATAGACGAACCTGTCAAACTTTGATGATTTCATAGGCGAGCTAAATCTGAGTGTTCTGGATGTTCCATCGATGAACTCGAGTGACACAGGTGTAGTAGCTTGTAGCTGAGTTCATAATGAACTCGTATCTGAGTCACAGATGCAACTCACTTGTTTTGATTCTGAGCTTAGGAATGGAGTCTAGTGTGCTGTTTCCTGCGCTGCAAGTGCAACAGCATTGATAGTTTCCAGGTAGAGGAGAAGGTAGTATCAAGGATGCTTTCATGGAGCAGGCCTATGACATATGTGATGCAGTAGCCCATTAAGCTTTGATTCTGAATCTGTATGCATGAGAAAGAGACTTTTACAGATATACAGCCTACTAATGAAACCATACTAATTAAGCTGCATATTTGTTCCACCAACAGGACTTGTCTATCTCAGACTATTACCACAAAATTGTGATGATCACTGAGACTTGTTCCTCCTCCATGGGAATATCCCTCTTACTTAGCAGTTCATAGCATTTACGATCCAACAAACAGCAGAAAACAGTCCATAGATTCCATATAAACATGCATGAAGAGTAGAACTATGTTCGGTAAAGAAGCACAATATTACTGTGTTTTCTTGCTTCTAATTCGCCGGCTAGAAGCAGCAAAGTAGTGCATACAACTAAGGTGGTCGAGGAATGCATGGATACCAACGTGAATAAAGTGTTACCAGACGGCCAAACCTTCTTTCTCCTCAGCAAGCATGCGAAGCTTGCTGGCTTTACCATCCTAACCATAGAGAACTTCCAATTGATAACACATGAAGCTTTCTTCCTCCTTTCTCCATCTTTCTCTTTCGCCAGGGTTCTCGTGAATGCCTTGTAACATTCACGTAATGGATCCATGGCCTTGAACGTAGCTACATATGACTGTCAAGCAGGCTTCGCATACATGGCTTTCATGGATCTACACGTGAAGCCTGTTGCATCAAATGTTTGATCCAATTTTCTGCAACTATTACCAAGTTGAAAGTGTCTTGTTCCATCGGTAAGCTTCTGGCTGTAGTCGTCTGCTAGTTTTGATGAACAATCACCACCTCTTTAAGGCTCATGACTTGTCTTAATGATATCTAAACATGCATGTGATAGATCACCATGATGCTGAGTTCTCGTAGGATTCATTGCTAATCTGCCTGTGATCATCACGGCTACTTAAGCTGTATTTGCATGCATCCACATCCTGTAAATTAACTTCACGTGATATATAGCACTTGAGGTCACATCCTTTCTGGTGTTGCTCTCGGTGGCTGCTATAAATAAGGCTTCCATTTCTGTTCTGGAGCTCAAACGAGTTCTCATTTCGGCTCAACTCATTCGCATAGCAATCGACATGGCACCCGATGGACAGACGCTCAATGCTTCCTACACCAAGAACAACTTGGCGGGTCGACAACGGCCTCGTCGGATCTCGATGGAGGGACTTCAGAGAGCAATATCCGACCTCTCCTTCCAGCTTGGAAAAGAGGCGGTGGAGACGACGACACTGCCACCCATCTCCGAGGTGGAGGACGCTAAGTGCGAGTGCTGCGGCATGTCCGAGGAGTGCACGCTGGAGTACATCCGCCGTGTGCGTGAGAAGTTCTCCGGGAAATGGGTATGCGGCCTGTGCTCGGAGGCGGTGAAGGAGGAGATGGTGAAGAACGGTGGGAAGCGGCAGAGAGCTCTCGAGGCACACACAAGCGTGTGTGTCAGGTTCAACAGGATCGGGCGGACGCACCCGGTTCTCTTCCAGGCTGACGCGATGAGGGAGATCCTGAGGAAGTCCTCGAGAGGTCGAAGGGCGCAGTCAAACAGGGAGATGGTCAGGATAGGGAGCATCACAAGGAGCTCAAGCTGCATTCCTGACATTGCCAAGGAGATCAACAAGTGCAGAGCACTCAAATGAAGAGTCCATGTTGCTTCACACTCTTCTTCTGGCTGATTCGGGTTCCTAACTTGAAGGGTTTTTTTTCTTGGTTGGGTGTCACACTTTCTCTGATCTCAGAACAATTCCTATTGTTTGAGGACGTGGAGATCTCTCCTAATTGTAACCCTTGAATCATGGTTGACTTTTTTCCTTGTTTGGTTCCATGAAGAATGTCTTCTACAGATGATCTTGGACTGCAGTTTCCTTTGTTGATGATCACTGCTAATCATAGTTTTTGTGATCTTTACATGAGGCCCAAAATTACACACGAGTCAGCCCATTATTCTTTCAACGTGCCAAAAGTTCTTCTTCTTCTTCTTCTTCTTCTTCTTCTTCTTCCCATTTCGACGTGGGTCGAAAGTCTCATTCGTCAAAAATGATGGGGACATGGCACATCCCATGTGAGCCACGTCAGCCTACTAATACGTGGGGCCCGTTGACATATATCTTCTCACGTCATATCGAAATCTTTCGGACAAATCCACCAACCTAAACATTATTTTTTTCTTCGGCACCATTGTCAGTCAGCTACGGATGCATGCAAGTCTTATGTAGTTTTTATGCCAATTCTAATGCAAACAAAGAGGTTACCATCTCACTTAGTGCAATCATCTAGGCAAAATCCAGGAGATCTTAGTAGGGTCAATCATTTACAAGATTCCATCAGCCTTTCCGTGAGATGTTTTTTCATCCTCCCTCTCCACCACCCCCACCACTGAAGTCATAGGTCCTCTCTCTCTCTCTCTCTCTCTCTCTCGCTCTGTGTGTGTTAATGATCCTGCGGGACATGTAGGTCATCTAAAAATGAAGATGAAGCGTCACCAACCAAGTCGATGACTGCTTTAGTTTGATGTTGATGTAAGAAGTTGGTGGGGAGATCAATCTGACATTCACGGTGAGAGGCAAGCATGCTCCTGACTGACCAATCTTTAGCGTCTAAGGCCTCGGCTTCTAGCGAAGAGTCGAAGACAAGCAACATGAAACCCAATTCAGTGTTATTGTTTTCATATGTACGTCGAATATGAGACTGATCATGAATGCCATCTCTAAGAAGGAAAAGAAGAGAGAGAGAGAGAGATGTTGTGATTGAGACACCCAAATTTGCATCCGCAGCAATCACACACTATTCTAGATCATGCATGTATATTTATTTAATCACTATGACTCAATTATTATGTCATTCGTCTAATATAATTAATAACATGACTGCTCCATGAAATTTCAAGTATCAAGTCACGATGATTTGAGAAATGGGTTAACAAAGTTAACATCATCCACTCAATTAATTACACATGTTTAAGTTAGTGTTTCCTTACTCCAAGCTTAGCAACTCTTCATAAAGAGAATTATGCGATGGCATTTGATACTCAACAGAGAAAAGAACAAACAGATTCTCTTGACAACCGCATGACCCATACTTTTGCTACGGATCCAACAACTCGTGGTAACAAATCCATGGATCATACTCGGTGTCAGAGGAGGAGGACCCACCCCCCCCTGCAGTACAGACATGGTAATGTCTACTTGCCACTTTTGGAGTAAGAAATACCGGGGGCAGTTGTCCTTCTTCTCTTGGTGTCCGGATTTGGAACGGTTTAATATTATTTCCAGTGATGGCTTTGAGGTGTATCTCTCTTGCCAGGATATAAAAAAAAATTACCAAATATAGCAACAAATCTAAGGGGGCGGAGAGCCGTCACTGTTCCGACGGCAACAGTTCCTCCGTCTTCGCGTGCTCAAAAGGCAACTGTTGTTTTGACCCGATGATTTACCCAAACCCGATGACTTATTCCGGTGGTGAGTGCAGAGTCCACATCGGGGCCCACCAACGTGGACGGGTAACAACGCGGGTCCTTTTTTCTCCAGAAATAAGCCACACGTGGTAAATTGCGGAATACTTTGACGCCCATTAGCGACGGCAGGTGGCGAAACGACCGGCACGCCCTTCGCGTGGGATAACCACCTCATTTACGTCGCTTATGGGTGCGTCCTTCGTGTGCATAAATAGGATTAGGTTATAAGAGAAAACATTAATCTCATAAATGCCATACCTAATGGCACAGTTCCTCCCACAGTACTCAAAGGATCGCAGCACATAGGATTGCTATGCTTGTCAATTTAGCTCAAGTGTTGAAATCTTGAAAGGGAAATATAAGAGTTGAATTGTCAGAGAAAGTTGAGAACAGTACCGTAATGAGAAGGGGGGTTTTTGTGTGCGGGCTGGGCGTCGTTGTCGCATGAAATATATTTCCTAGATTAGACAAAATGATGATAATAATAGAGCTAATATTTCTTTTCTGCAAAATTAAATGGAAATAATTGTTTGGACAGTATTTGGTTATTCTATTCATTGATAATGCCATGTCGACAATTTTCCATATGTTTGCAACGATGAGGTTGGAGGAGGAGGAGGAGGAAGAGAGGTTAATAGACAAGCGGCAGCAGATGTAATGAAAAGCCACAGAGTTAATTGGTGATTCTGATATGTAAGCGACAAAGAATTCGGGAACATGCAGCGGGACGAAGGTTTCATCCCTGACAGACATGGAACGAATTGATTGCATGCGCTGAACCAATCAACTCTTTCCTTCTTCCATCCCTTCTCAAGCGCAGAGAGAGAGAGAGAGAGAGAGTCAGTAGTCCCATAGACCAGCGTCGAAGCTGGTGGGAACCAAAGCATCCGACCACCACATCTGATCGGACGTCGAGTCGTAAAGATCGCTTTCCGGATACAGAAACGAGTCGAGCGGGTCGTGGTGGTAGAGGAAGTCGGCCCCTGGATCGACCGATTCGAGGAACCAGCCATCCAGTCGCGGCAGCTCGCCGATCTCACCGAGCTCGGCGGCTGCGGCGGGCAAGGAGCTGGGGGACTGCGTCAGGGCCGCGGGCTCCATGGCGGCGGCCTTCGCGGCGGCCGCCTGGATGTCGTGGGGCGCGAGGGTGGCGGGTCGGGGGAGGGAGGCGGCCAGCTCGGGGAAGTTGAGGATAGCAGCGGCGCCCTTGATGCTTAGCGCCGCCACGTCGTGGGCGCGCGCCGCCATTTCCGGTGTCGGGAACGTCCCCAACCAGATGCGCGACTTCTTGCGGGGCTCCCGGATCTCCGACACCCACTTCCCCCAGCTCCGCTTCCGCACGCCGCGGTACACGGGGTACCTTCTCTGGTCCGCGCCGCCGCCTTTGGCAGCCTTCTTTGCAGAACTCGACGACGTGCCCATCGCTTGCCGATGATGAAGGGCTCGGGAGGGAGAAGACGAAGACGGTGACGAGTTGGAAGACATGGAATTGGCGCTGCTCTCGGGCTCGGAGTCCACCATTGTCGTCAAAGCCCCGATCTTTTTACTGGGATCAGAGTGGTTTGTTCCACACCGAGTCTGCTGATCGCCCAACCGCTGGAAACTTATGTTGATGTTTCTCTACACCAATGGCTCGCCTTCGACTTGCTTTTAGGATTCCCAATGCCTCATGAAAGGAGGTGCTTCTGAACGAGCCAAATGAAGAAGTGACCGAGAGAGAGAGAGGCAGAAGAGGAAGAGAAGAGTGGGTTGAGATGGTCGGAAAGAGAGGGGGTTTAAGTAGAGAGGAGAGGGCGTGAGCAGAAGATCCCCTAAAATTCGAGTTGTACAGAAACAATGAAATAGGTACGTACGTGTCTTTATCATCGTTGCTGCAAGGACAAAGTGGTCCAACCGCTCCTGCATATGAAATAGACAATTTACCTGTACCAAGTCTCCATAATGACTACCTCCGTCTCCACCTATTTTGTGGACTGTGCATTACCCATCATCACCCACCCCCAAAATCCAATTACCATTGTCATGTCATGGCTAAGTATTCCTTTCCCTACACCTATCTAAATTAGGGCAGCTATAATAGTGTCCTGTAGGAGCTTATCATCATGACATGGTGGACTGTGAAGTAGTAGCAGTTTATGCAAGTTCAAAACGTGACTCCAACATGTGAAAAGAATGGATCTTTCTGCTGCTTACCTGATGTTACGTAATGAGTGCAACTCAGGAAAAGTATGGTGTGAGAACTACCCAATCGATTGTCCTGATCGAAAAGCAAAAGAGAGACGTTAAACACAGCTTTGGTGATTCTGTGTGGTCGAATGGGGCAGTGTAATATGTTTTTACACGATAACACCCCTCATAATTAATTTTTATCTAATAATATATGTATTTTTAATTCTGATAATATTATTGAATTGGGTTGTTTCAAGTCACAAATCACCATCACCGGTGAACTCGTGAGCGCGCGACGGGGTGGAGGGTTCGGCAGTGCCATCGGAGGTTCCGACAGAGCGACGGAGGAGAGGGGAGCTCGATGTTTCTGCCACATATGTCTACCGATGACAGCACTGCATATTTTTGCTTGTACATAGACATGAAAAGGAGAAGGGGAAAGAAGAGTGGTTCCTAATTCTGTGACCTTCCCACAAAACAATTAGAGCAGGTGACAATCCGAAGCATAGCATGAGAGCAGCACACGCTACAAAAGTTTGGTCATCGAGGTCGACAATTTCAGCGGCGGCGGCGGCGCCGACCCCCCGTCAGCGTGTGTAGGCTTCAGCTTATGGATCCAGCGGAGAAGCCGCTTCTTGTGATCTTGGCAATTCACGTTTGCGACGGTGTCGAGCGTGCCATCTTGAGCGAGAGCAGATTCGAATTGCTCTAAAACCTTCACGATCTGCCAAAAGTCGGGTCTCTTGTCTGGATGGAGCGCCCAGCATTGCTCGATCAACGTCCGCAAGGCTGTCGGGCATTCAGGAGGCACAACAGGCCTCGAGTTCTGACAAAGCACAGCATTTACAGCATTAGGAATCTACCTTCCTTGTATCGATCGATATGAACAGTTTCAAAAGGAAATCATTTGATTAGAAAGAAACTTAATGCTTGCTAATGTGCAATTACCTTAATACAAACACATCATTTTTCCTGCCTGAAAGCTAAATGACAAGTTTAACCCAGAAACTTGAATGAAAAAACAACATTGATGGTTCATATATGGCTGTTCTTACACAACAGCTACAGCTAGATCAGAAACGAAGCATACCCAGAAAGCAAGAAAAGTTCTGGAGGTGGTGAAAACTTGCAGAATGGAAAGAGAGAAGCCACAGATATCAACCCAACCCATATGACAATCATTTTGATTCCTACCCCAAAATCCAGACAAAAGCAAACTACATGGTCGCAAGAATAAATGTACCACAGCAGGGATGTGCCGTTGTATCTTAAAAAGACAAACACATACTCAAAAGACAGCTGAAGGGCAACATGTGAAATTGATGGAGGGCATTAAGGCAGCAACAGTTGCACAGTAGGCAAGTATGTGTAACAAGTAACAATGGTTTCTTCTAGCTAATGCCATATGTGCAAAGGATGGGAACAAATGAAATAGTGCTGGTTATTTATATGAAGTTTTTCTTGACCATAAGATATAGTTCACTCTTTCTTCTTCTTCTTCTTCATGAAAAACTCTAGAACACCTTAACTCAAAAAGGAAAAAAGAAAAAGTGTCTTAGTGTATCATAGCACAACCCAGAAAATTGATGATCCGAACAACTCGTGGCGTACCTTATCAACCACTGCGAAAGCAGCCTGAACAGGCATCATCTCCTCGTAAGGAATTCTTCCAGTGGCCATCTCCCACAGGACTAGCCCAAAACTGTAGACATCAACTTTGCGCCCATAAGGCTTGTGTTTGATCATCTCAGGTGCCATCCAACGGAAAGTTCCAGGGTCTTCTGTTAAAGTATCACAGTGTGCCTCCTCGCAGGCAATTCCAAAGTCGGCAATTTTTACACACAAGTCTTGATCAAAGAGAATGTTCTCAGGCTTCAAGTCTCGGTGAATAACCCCTTGCGAGTGAATATACTCCATTCCCCGTGCAACATCTAGTGCGATTGCAATAAGTTTTTGTAGAGGGAGGGATTTTTGTTTGAGTTTGTGTAGAAATGCTCTCAAGGACCCCCCTGAAAGATATTCAGTGATTACGCAAAAGACTGGTGGTTTTTGCCATGCCGCTACTAGCTGCATCAAAGTAAATATTACATTAGTTAGGAAGGTGGGCAACACAAAAAAAAGTGAATTAAAATGTCAAAATTTAAAAGGCACGCCTGACCCAGCTAAAATTAACACATTTAATTTATTGGCACTAGGTAAAGAACTTCATCAGCAATGACCCATCTCTCACTTAAATTATTCCAATTAACCATGTTATTGTCACCGCTTAAATCCATTGGCAAATGCTGATCGCTTAAATAACACATGTTATTGCAGAGTTTCTTTTTCCAATGTTCCATGTACCTATATATGCTGGTATGAAGGAAACATCTTTTACAATTAATGCAATTTAAGTCTTTGCAATAAACAAAGAACATATACAGTCACCACCATTTCTGTAATGCCAGCAATTGAAAACAAACGGCCTACCGTACACTGGTGCTAAAAACATTAGGAAACTGTTTGTAATGTTTGCAATGTGCATAAAAGTTTATGATTTCTGATATGTAAATAAATCTCAAGGGTCCACTATAGAAGAAATTATTAATCAAAATTTAGCATCGGATTTCAGCTGAAGTCGAGTCTCATATAAGTGTTTAAAGTTCAATATGCATCATCCTACACAAGGAGATGTAACAATCACTTACAAGAAACTTGAACAGAAAACAAATCAGACAATCAAAAAGTTTAATCTTTTTTAAATATATACATCCTTTGGCTATGCTTTTACCTTATAGAAAATTCAGTAGTAATTGAAATTCAGTGTACATTTGATGTATTGTAGCTGAATCATTGTGCACTATCTGAAGGCACAACATACTGAAGAACCAAGAACCTTTAAGACAGAGTCAAAGTAATAACTGGAGTACCTTTATCACATTCCGGTGATAGAGATGAGAGAGAAGAGTGACCTCCCTAGTGAACTGCTTCTCAAGACGAGCAGCCATCAGCCCATTTTCATCATCATCAGGTTGTCTAATGATTTTTACTGCAACTGGCTGGTCTTTATAAATGCCATGATATAACTTGCTATGAGCTCCCGAAGCAAACCTAAGACCAACATACAACTGGGAAGGATCAACCATCCAATCATCAGAAGTTCCTAGAGAAATAACCTTTCCCCCACCCTGTTCAAAATATCGTGCCCATGAAGCCTCCTTCAAACTCTTATGCTTACCAGTTGCTTTCATTAATGAGAATTGATGCAGAGAACTTGTCTCGGGAGGTGGTGGATAAGGGGCCACATGATGCTCTCGGCCTTCTTTTGAGAGTATTTTGCTAGAGACACTCTTTTCTGATCCTTTCCTCCTAGGTGGTGGAGTTGCGAACCTCTTCTCGTTAGCCCTGGCTTCCTTAAAGACATCTGAAAGGATGGTTGTTGGAAGAGGAGAAGCAGACCTCTGCCTCAGTATAAATTTCTGTCCATCCTTGAAAGAAATAGGGCCATTATTCTGAAAATTATCATCCAGTTGGAACCTAATCGAAGGCCTAGATACCAATATTGTGCCAGAATTCGAGCCCCTGTGCTTCAATCTTGGATCTTGATCGGACTGAGAAGCGAAGGACGAAGATCCCCCACTCAATTTATTTGGACTCACCTTACTTTCTTGATCAGGATGAATAGAGAAGCTAGAAATTTCTAAACTACCCATCGTCTTTGGCTTGCGATGCTTATTAGCCTTTTGAGTAGAACTAGATACAACTACAGTCGAATTTGACGCCCCTGATTTAGGTTCTTGTTCAGAGCGCAAATAAGAAATAGGAATTTCCGAACTCGACTTATTTGTCTTTGATCCACGACGCCTATCCCGTAGCAACAACTGCGACGATGACAAACTAGCAGAATGAGAAATTGAACTCGCTGTTTCAGGTCCAGCATTCCGATCAACCGGCAACGAGATTGATGACAATTGTGATGCTTCTGCAGTCCTTTTCGGCTTCAATCGCGGATTGCTTTCGGATTTGATGGGCAACAGGATTGAATGCAGATTAGCATAATCTAACCTGTGGCAGACGGTATGAGAGAACATTGCCCTCCTCACCCAAGAGCAGCCCTCTTCCTCCATTACTGCCCACCAAATGACGCACCTAACGAATCAAATTCCGGCAGCCAAGCTTAGGAATCCCATCGAACCAACAAAGGAAGCGCTTCACGCTCGACAGTTTCTTCCGAATCAAAATCTTCTATCAAACAATCGGTCGAATGACTCAAGAGCAATGACTGCGACGATCCCCTGCACCGGAAGCCACAATGAAACAAAATAAGATCCCACTGAAATAGACCTGTCAGAAATCCTATTTCAGACACAAAAAAAAGAGCAAAACCAATCAAAGAACCATTTTTTATTAGGGGAAAAGCCAGAGAAGAGGCCCCATTCCATGACCAAAGGGAAACGAATCATCATCATCATCATCATCATCTCAACATAGACCAATATTTCAAACCAAAATCGCAGCTTTTTATTAGATTTGTAGAAACATCAAAGATTAAAAAACACAAAACAACCATTAAAAAATCCCATAAATAAACTTGAACGGAATTTAAAGAATCATCTAAATCTTCCCGAGATCTCTGGAAATGGCGTCAGAAGAGCTCCAATTTCGAAAGGACCCACAAACAATCAGCAAAATAATCATAAAAAGTCGTCTTTTTCGTATCGCCGAGCGAAGCGGCGATCTACGTATACGAACAACAAATAAGCGCAATTATTAGAATGAAAGGAAAAGCATCCAAGAGCTAAAGAACCTCAAACGTTGGAAGGCCGACTTCCAAGAATTTGCATCCGCCCTTGTCCCTACCTCAACCGGTGCTTACAAGGGACCACTCGGCCGCCACCTCGTCGAGCCATCAGAAAGCGAAAACGGGAGAATGCGAATAACAGGTGGAAGTGGCGGTGGAGGTGGAGCCTCCTATGCCGGTCCTTTTCCTCTATACCGCCTTTCTTTGTCCCACGTAGCCCTTCCTAAACAATGTTTTCGACTTGTCACCA